ACGGTCCTTATATTGTTTGGGCAGGGCGTTTTTTTTTTTTAATCGTTCTCTCTTCAGTGAACTTTCCAACAACATTATTGGTTGTTGATAAAATCTCAGACCTGTACTGGACACAGAGACCAGGACATTGACCCAGCTGCTTCCTGTCCTCTGTGTCCGTCCTCTGATGTTGTCTCCAGTGTGCGGAGACATCCACGGACAGTTCTTTGATCTGATGAAGCTCTTTGAAGTTGGAGGATCACCAGCAACCACGCGGTACCTGTTCCTGGGGGACTACGTCGACCGCGGCTACTTCAGTATTGAGGTGACTTAACCCGACCTTAGTTAACTAACCCTAACTTAACTAACATTAACTAGTGTGTGCACTGAGTTGTTGTTGTTGTTGTTTTTTCCTCCAGTGTGTTTTGTACCTCTGGTCTCTGAAGATCCTTTATCCAAAGACTCTGTTTCTACTGCGTGGAAATCATGAATGTAGACATTTGACTGAATACTTCACCTTCAAACAAGAATGTGAGTATTCCCCTGTTAGTACCTTGGCCTCTGTGATGATGTCACGTGTCTGCAGCACGTGGAATAGTAGTTTCACGTGGTGTTTGACGTTGTCTTTTGTCCCAGGTAAAATCAAATACTCGGAGCAGGTGTACGACTCGTGTATGGATGCGTTTGACTGCCTCCCTCTGGCTGCACTCATGAACCAGCAGTTCCTGTGTGTCCACGGTGGACTCTCACCTGAAATACACACCTTAGATGACATCAAAAAGGTACTGCGACTGACCTGTGGCCAACAGGGGGGGGTGTGATGGTGGGGGGGTATTTAAGCAGAAATACTCGTCTATATACTGTACAAAACATTTGTATCCCACCTTTGGATAAAAAGAAGTACACCGACTTGTACAGAATACACAAAGTTAGAGGTAAAATATTTGTGACGATGTCGTCAGTAAACATGTAGAAAAAAAGGTATTTTTAAGTATAAAAAAAAACAGTAAAAATCATTATTTATAAAATAATTACAGAGAAAAAAAATAAAATGTTTAGCAAAAGAAAATAACTTTAAAAAAAGAAAGTGATTTTTTTTCAAAGGAAAAGTCAAAAAAACATGAAGTTCTGACTGAACTTTTCTGATGTTCAGTTGGATCGATTCAAGGAGCCCCCCGCCTTCGGCCCCATGTGCGACCTGCTGTGGTCTGATCCTCTGGAGGACTTTGGTAACGAGAAAACCCAGGAATATTTCAGCCACAACTCAGTCAGAGGCTGCTCCTACTTCTACAGGTGACGTGGTTGTTGTTGTTGTTGTTGTTCTCCACCGTAGAACGTTAGCCACGTCCTAGCCGTGCACCAGCGTGTAGCCTGATCCCGTATCAATCTCCTCAGTCATTGATCAGTTCTTGATTTTCTCCAATATTCCTGGTGTTGGTTCATGTTCTTGTTCTTTTCTTTCTTCTCTAGTGATTCCAAATGTAGATCCCTCTGTTCCAGAGTTAGGAACTGATGTTCAGATGGAACAGAGTCTCAGATTATGATGATGTATCGTGATACATATCGTATCTGCAGATTCGTGCCGATACTCAACGCCGTCTCCGACCCAGAATTCCCAGAACTGAATTCATAATATCCATGAAGACAGTGTGGATTTAAATTATTCATAATAATCAAACATTTATGTTTAACTGAGTGGAAACCACAGAGAAAAGGTTCACATCTGACTGGTGATGGTGGGAAAAACACCAACGTGTTTTTGAACATTGAACTGACCGACGTGTGACGCGGCCCACATCTAACTGTGGACTGTGGCCCAGATGGGTCAGATGGTGTGGCACTGTTGTCAACTGTTCTGTTGAATCACAGAAGGGATTTCTGCAGAGGCAGGATTATCTGGGTGAACGAGGAGTCAAGTTAAAAAAGGGAAGAGGGAGAGAGTGGGGGAGGAGGGGGAGGAGGGGGGAGTAAAATATCAGACCTAATAGAGACAGAACCTGGGTATGAGCTTGTTATGAGCAGTTATTAAAGCTCTGCCACAGAGCGAGGGGGGGGGGACGAGGGGGGGTGATGATGGAGCGTTGACCTAATATTGTTGTGAGATGGAAGTGAGCTGTGGAAGTAGGAGGAGGAGGAAGTGGTGGAGGAGGAGGAGGAGGTGGAGGAGGAGGGATTAGGTGGCAGTGGTGAGAGTTTTTCTTAATGACGGCTCGGAGCCGACAGACTCCTGCGTGGGAGCTGCAGCTCTGCTCAGATTACAGGGAGAAAGAAGTGGAGAAGATTTATCCCTGACGAGCAGGAAGAGTGTGTGCAGGAGGAGCCGGGGGGGAGCGGGCCGGGGTCTGTCTCAGTCTGATCTCCTCACATCCAACAGTGATCAGCTGAGATGAAACAGTTCCGCTGACGTTCCTCTGTCACCGTTTCTCCAGCGTCACCACGACAACAACCAGATCGAACGCAGACGTCGCAGTTTTGCACAGTTTTGTTCGTTGGTGTCGGACCATCGGTACCTGCTCCAGAACGGAGCCTGGGGAGAAAGGGTTCTCCTCAGTGATATATGTATTATACATGTGAACGTCTGTTGAATATTTATATGAAGGCACAGTGTTTACTGAGGCCTGATCAATAATTCACTACATCAGACCAGTATCACTGTGTACTGACTGAAGTACTACAGTCGGTACACACTAATACACCGCTGTACCAGCTCTGCACTGGTTGAACTGGTTGTTATGGAGACGTTGTTGTGATTCCCAGAGAGAAGAGGAAGTCGGTTTCACACTGGCAGCTGAGACACTTCACCTCCATCTCACTCTGTCTGACTCCCTGAGANTCTGTCTGACTCCCTGTGACTCACTGTCCCCCCCCCCCTCTCTCCCCCCTCACCCAGACACATAACTCCATGTTCTTCACCACAGACAAAGACGGAACATGAAGCTGTTCCAGTGTTTCCTCTGATAATAATAATAATAATAATAATTATTATTATTATTATTTTATAGATGATGTGTTTTATACAGAGAGAAAATCCTGAATAATTGCAGATTTGTGTTTGTGTAATTCTCCATGTGGGCTGTAGGGGGAGTAACGGTTGTTAGGGGTGTGATGATGTTGTGGCCCAGTTCCAGCAGGTCTCTGACTGGGGTTTTTTTTCTACTGTACCTAAATATTTTAAAGACTTGTGAAAGTTTGATGGCTGGGACGGAGGGAGGGAGGGAGGGAGGACAGGGGTGAGGGCTGTTGCTGAGGGGGAGGGCTGTTTCTGAGGGTGAGGGCTGTTTCTGGGGGTGAGGGCTGTCGCTGGGGAGGGACGACTTGTTCTAAAAGAACAGGGAAAGTTCCTGAGGGTGAGGGCTGTTGCTGAGGGTGAGGGCTGTTGCTGGGGAGGGAAGACTTGTTCTAAAAGAACAGGGAAAGTTCAGTGAAGCTGTCGATGAAAACATTAAAACATTATTTAATATAAAATGTACAGCGATCTGGTCAGGTTTGTTTTTTCACACCGCTGCTTCATCATCATCATCATCATCCTCAGCGAGGATTTCTTTTAAAGAGAATGATATGAACCTGTGATAATTATTTTTTTTTAATTGCGTCTCTTGCAGTTATCCAGCTGTGTGTGAGTTCCTACAGAGCAATAATCTACTGTCAATCATTCGAGCTCATGAAGCACAGGATGCTGGGTAGGACACGCAGCGTCACACACTCCTTCACCACAGACACTGCTACTGTTTCTAACAACAACTTTAACAACAACGTCTCTTCTCTCTGTTGCTTCTGTCTGAAGTTACCGGATGTACAGGAAGAGTCAGACCACGGGGTTTCCCTCCCTCATCACCATCTTCTCAGCACCAAACTACCTGGACGTTTACAACAACAAAGGTCAGAACTTTGACTCGCTGGGATTTGAATTTAAATTCAAATTAAAAACATTTTTTTTAACCGAGGATTTGAATTCAAATTAAAAACTTTTTTTTAACCGATGTTTTTAAAAGCCGCTGCTGACGACAACACGTCCTCAGGCCCAGCGGCGTCAGCGGCAGCATCGGACTTATGTAAGGTGGTTACGCTCGTTAGCAGGCGGAGGAATGCATCAGGGAGCCGCGCTGTGTTTGTCTTCTCAGACCTGTGTCTTGGTTGCCATGGGCTGTAAGAACAGGGAGTGTGGGTGGGACTGTCTGCATCACTGACTATCTACAGTACATCCCCCTGGAACTGAGGCTGTCAGCAGTTCTTACACCACCTAGTGGTTTAAAGACACATTTTTTCTAAAAACAGAAATTTTAAATTTTAAGTATCATTTTCATGCAATGGTTCTCAAAGTGAGGGGCTACATAATGTGTAGTCCGGTGCTGTCAAACACTCTGAAAGCCTGCACTGGCAGTGGCTGGCCTACTGAGGGCGCTACGGCATGGCCCCCGGTATTTAAATTTTTTTTTAATAAACATTTTTAAAAATAAACAATAATGATTTATTTTGGGTATGGGTCACAGCGTGTCATATATAAAATGTAAATCATCATATTTTGGTGAATATTAGATTTGGGTTCATCTCACTTCTGCCCTCTTCTGGGGCAGTAGAAACAGTGCCTCATCAGTTCAGCAGCTCAGCCAATTGCTGACCTCCAATTAAGGTCGTCAAATCTGATGGCTGAAGGGTGATTAATTTGTCGTCCTTGACTCTGGGTAGGATATCACCCGGCTGAAGGGTGATTAATTTGTCGTCCTAGACTCTGGGTAGGATATCACCTCCACCACAAGGGGTCACTGGTGTAACAGCCAAGGGCCTTGTGTGTTTTGTGTAAGAATGACTCAGCATTTTAATACTGGCATTAACTAATTGCTAACTCAGGTGTTTCCTGCTGTTGGTGTTCAGTTACTGAAACTGGTTCAACCTAAAATTCAAGTTCATCCTCTGTGTCTCCATCAGCTGCTGTCCTGAAGTATGAAAACAACGTGATGAACATCAGGCAGTTCAACTGCTCCCCACATCCGTACTGGCTGCCAAACTTCATGGACGTCTTCACCTGGTCTCTGCCCTTTGTCGGGGAAAAAGGTAGGAGAAGTTTCCAGAACCATTCAGGTCCTTCAGCCTTGGTCCCGCCTCCAGAACCGTCCGTCATCCTGTGTTTCTGCCCCACACAGTCACAGAGATGCTGGTCAACGTGCTGAGCATCTGCTCCGACGACGAGCTGATGAACGACGAAGACGAGATCTTTGACGGTGAGGAGTCGAAAAGAACACACGAGGAATTAAAGTCGCCGTAAAGAAGAAAAGTTGACATTTGACCTCTGTCCTGTGAAAACCAGGCCTGAAATGAATCTCCAAAATCATGACATTAAAAATATTTAAAATGTATAAATAACAAAATAAACATAAAAACACACAGGCTGGAAAAGTTCAAATCAGTTAGAGTATTTTAGTATGCAGTACTTTATGTATTTAGTAATAGTAGTGTGTATTTGTGAACAGACAAAGAAAAACAGAATGTATTTAAAGAAAATATTTAAATACCTGCAGTACAAATACTCACCGTGTACACGTGGTATTCGTTCACAGCTAACGCAGCTGCAGCTCGTAAGGAAGTGATCAAGAACAAGATCCGAGCGATCGGGAAGATGGCCAAGATGTTCTCAGTCCTCAGGTGACCTCCGTGTCCACCACCAGTACCTCTGTGTACTTCAGAAGTACTCTGTTCTTCATCCCCGGTTCTTCTTCTGTTATTTCCTGCAGAGAGGAGAGTGAGAACGTGTTGACGCTGAAGGGCCTGACCCCCACTGGCATGCTGCCCAGCGGGGTTCTCTCTGGGGGCAGACAGACGCTGCAGAGCGGTGAGTTAGAGTCTGGACCAGTCCAACACTGACCACAACTGTCTGTTGATATGGGTGTAACCATGGTTACTGAGTACAGGTGTGTACTCATTGGTCTTCTTATCTAAACCGGCCAATCAGAATGTTCCACAGTGTCTACGACCTGTACTAATGTCTTGTTGTACTATGTAGTAATATGTAGCATAATAAAGTAGTACTAAGTAATAACTGATTCCTCGGCACACCACTAGGGGGTGCCTAAGCGACACGCAGTGGTGTGAACACCTTAGTTTGAAAACCGACAGACTAATGACATCTTTGTCGCCCTCTGGTGGTGCAGTACTGACACTGATGCATGTCTGTCCTCAGACTCTACCTCCACATCACTTTAACTGCCCCTCATGCTGGGGCAGCAGTGTTAATTTACATGACTTGTTCAGGAATAACCCTAACTCCCCCTCCCTCCTCTGCTCCTCCCCCCTCTGCTCCTCCCCCCTCAGCCACCATTGAAGCCATTGAAGCCATCGAGACACCCGACGAGGACAGAGAAGGTAAAACTCCCCCTCCTCCTCCTCCGTCAATCACCTGATTCACACTATTCACACTATCGTTGATAATAGTTCAACGTGAAACAGCATGAAGTTTTCATACAATTAAATTGTTTAAAAAAAACTCAATATATCGTCATATCTAAAGTATCACAATATATTGAAATATATCGTATCGTACATCACACACACACACACACACACACCCTTAGATTGTGTGTGTTTACTCCTGCCATAAACATGTTTATGATTGTTTGTTTGTTGTGCGTCCCGCAGCCATCCGCGGGTTCTCGGCCCAGCACAAGATCTCCAGCTTCGAGGAGGCCAAAGGTCTGGACCGCATCAACGAGCGCATGCCACCTCGCAGGGACGGCGTCAACCACGTGGGTCTGTCCATGGGAAAGATGAACATGTCGGAGGCGAACGGCACCGACGACAACAGTAACATCCAGTGATGTGCTGCCTGAGCCGGGGGTCGTGCCGCTGCACCACCGCGCAGCAAGACTTTGCCAAATCTGGAATTCAGAGCCTGGGAGTTTAGAGACCAACACAGACTCACAGACAGAACACAGAACCTGCAGCCGGATCTCAAAAAATAGGGTAAAAAAATAAATAAAAAAAAGTCACTTGTTTCATTACAGAGGTTGAACAGTGGGTGTCACTGTGGTGGTCCTGGAGGGGGAGGGGCCACAGCAGAAGGACTCCCACCCTGAGACTTGAACCTCCCCCCCTGCCTGCAGTTCCCTCCGTCGTTTGAATCACAGACTTTATAGTCGGAGGCCGATCGGTTCCGAGCACTGACCAACGGCGGCTTCTTCATTTCAGGGCCTGACACAGGACACAGCTGCAGTAACCAATCGGTTCTAACCACTGTTTTCTATAGTGTTTATGAAGGAACTCACTCACAGTTTCACTCCTGGAGGACGACCGTGGTATTACATGTTCCACTAGTATTACCGAGTCACAGCGTCTGCTCCGCAACACTTTCACTTCTGTGGTTCGGTTCCCTGGGGTTCAAAGGGGCCATCAACATGTATGTGTGTGTGTGTGTGTGTGTGTTTACAGCTCAGTCCAAACCAACAGAACCACTGCAGTCACACCACCCTGAGGGTAGGTGTCACTGTTTTCCAGTTCTCCTCCTTTCTTCACCTCCTTCTCGTCAGTCATCTCCTCGCAGAGACAATCTTGGAGGGGATGAGGAGAGACAGGAGGGAAAGTCCAGGAGCAGAACTGGAGAAGTGGGACATCGTGCTCACGGTTGAATTCCTTCACATCATCTGTGACGTGTTTGATGATGATGCTCAGCTCCTGGTCTGGACCTCAGCTCCTGGTCTGGGCCTCGGCTCCTGGTCTAACCCGGTCACAGTCAGATCATCGTGTCCTTCAGTGGAACTTTACCTCACGACTGTACAGACACTGACCCGTCCACCTGCTGGAACTCTCCTCCAACTGAAGGACGCTGTGGACGCTGATTGTTTGGATTTTTTGTTTTTTTTGTTTTTCACTTCTGTGTTTTAACCGCCTACAAAACAGCGTCAGCGCCATCTACAGGACCAGAGGGTGAAGGAGAAGAAGTGACTGAACTCTGGGACGTCGTCTGCTGCCACTAACTACCTGATTCCTTCTGGAGAAGGAGGTTTGAGTTTTTGATGATACACGGCTACACAGAGTACTTTAGTACGCAGTACAATGAGAAGGAAATTCTACAAATTTGTGTTTGCTTTTTTTTTTTTTTTTTTTGCAGCTCAATAGTATTTTGATGTTTGTGTAAAACACAGGTTTAAATTAATCCGGAACTGATTTTTACTGCTGCCAGTCGTGAAATACCACACATTTTTTTAAACAGTTAACTTTAAAGTACTTTTTCTATGAAAAGTACACGTTAATCAGAGAAATGTTTTCCAATCACTGAAGAGTGCCACAACACTGTGACTCAAACATCCAGACATCAATTAAAGGTCAGGTATGCAGGAACTTTGTGTACACTTCCTTTCCTTCCCCTGCAGGGGGTGCTATGAATGTAGCTTAAATGCTGGTGTGCAGTGGGGGGGCTTTTTTTTAGGCCATGGACCCTAAACTGATGAGGAGGTGGAGCAGGACGCCCCAGCTGTACAGAATGTCCCTGAATGTTGACGTTAGACGAAGATGAAGATGAAAATGTTCTGCCTCTATTTATGTCCTCGCTACAATATATTGGCTTCACAGGAAAAAGATTTCTATGAAAAAATATAAAACCTGTCCTGACCAAAAATTTTTTTCTGATTCTGCCAAATTTTGGGTAAAAACAAAATTTATTTATTTATTTATTTATTTTTGAGAAACCACTTAGAAAAAGGAAAATATGGACGTAGGGAGTCACCACCATACACTTCTGGTGGTGATTTTTTTAAATTACTAAAGTGTTTTTTTTTACACCATACACTTCTGGTGGTGATTTTTTAAAATTACTAAAGTGTTTTTTTAAGAGAATAACTAGACACAGTACACAGTTTTCCTGCATACTCTGAATGTGTCCTCACACAGTTTTCCTGCATACTCTGAATGTAACTAAGTATCTAAACAGGTGAATTTGCACTGAATGGATGTGTCATTCTGACCATCGCTGTAGAAACACAACGCTGTGTGGTTGTTGTGATAATTTGGTGACATCACTTCGATCCCTCAGACGCCCTCTGTCTGTGAGACCAGTGAGAGAACGGTGACTGGAGGTGACTTCGGTCTGCGACTGAGAGCCCCAAAAGTTAAAGATGTGTTGTTTCACATAAATTTCTAGAATTTCCTTTCCTACGTGAATATATTTTCTACCTTCTGCTGACGTCTGTCGGTTACAGGACGAACAGTTTTTAACTCAGCATCTACAGGACTGAACGCATCCATGCATGCAGTTAAGTTCAGTAATTAAGTAATTGTTCTGTGAGATTAATTGTGATAGTTGTGTTTTAAATAGTAAACTTGAATTTTTATTTTTTATTTATTTTTATTTAATTTTTTTTGCTGGTTTTATTCGTTAAATAGCCTTCCTTTGGTCGTTCGCTCCACTTTTTTTTCACTCTTCATTTGTTACTGCTGCTTATGATTTTATATATTGCGTTACATGGAGAGATGTGAAGCCTTGTGTTTATTTTTATTTTCTGTTGTACTGATGTACAGACAATGTTCTATAGTGGGAATGAATATAATCTCAGTGAAAAGCAACTTTCAGGCTGCCAAAGCATGATAGCATGGTTTTCAGATGTAAATGTGAGTCTGGCACTAATTGAAATTTTGTGTCACACTTACGTGTCACAGGAATCATTGTACTCTGGTTATATTTACTGCTGATATTATTATAATTATTGTTACAACTTAGATGATGGTATTTTACTTTCCTTCCTCGGTTTCTGGTTCTTCTATGGTCTAATGCATATTTCAACAATCTAATATTAATGGATTTTATCTTGCAACATTTTTATGCTCTATGAAATATGCATATGTTTTTGGCATTTGACTTACTGGACGATACACACATTGTAAGCATGCGCTATGGGACAAATCACATTTTTTTACTCTTGAAATAAAATATGCATGAACAAAAATGTGTCTAATTAACTTTTTTTCTCTTTTTTTGCTTCACTACTTAATCCTAAATATATCTGAAGTCCAGTCCAAAGTTGAAGAAACAAAATGGCCGTGTTGGGCACAACTGTATATAAAAATGCGAATACAAAAGTTAAACTTTGCTTCGGAAGCTCTTAAAATTATATTTATTATTTATAAATTTAGTTTTTTTTATGGAGGCAAGTGTCCAGCTAGGCTAGGCTTACCCCGCTGACTACTGCACTCATCTTTTCTTTTTTAATAGAAGTGACATTGTAACATTGTAAGTAACGTTACTGCCATCTACTGGATCTCGATAGATCAGAATTTAGTGGTAAATGTTTGCCCAGAAATGTACTCGCTCTTTTAAAACAAGGAAAAACGCAAACACACAGCGGTTTATTTCTGTTGATTCAACACATTTATGTGACTTTATGTGTTTATTTTGCTGGGAAAGTCTTGCTAACACTTTCTACCTTCTTGCTAGCTAACCAAGCAGCTCGTTTCCTGTTCCTCTCCAACCCCGGATGTGACGTCCCTCGCCTTGTCCCGCCCCCCTGGCTGTCACTTCTCTCGTTGCTCTGTGTGATTCAGCCGTGGACCATTTAAATAAAAATGAAGCAAAAATAACAGTGAAACTCCAGAAGAGAGCGTTCACGGTTTTTCAGGCGGTGAAGATGCCCCCGCTGCTCGTCCGCCGACGGCCTGACAACGTTCAACTCTGCGGCTTTTACCGTCGTCAGCACGAAGGGCAGTGAAGAGCGGGTGCAGGTTTGGAGCAGGCTAACGTTACGCAGCTGTAACTGGAACCAAAGCTAATCCGTGCGTGTCTGTGTGTGTGTGTGTGTGGAGGGGGGACTCACACGACATATGATATAACGGAGACAAAAACACGGTTTTCTGTGGAATAACCTCACATTAAAATGAAGAGCTTGGACAAAGAGGAAGCGGACCGGCTGATAGAGAAGGCGAAGCTGTGTTTACGGTCCGGGCGGACAGACCGGGCACTGCAGCTGCTCTACGAAGCCCAGAATATTTACCCCAGCACCAGGGCCAGAGGTAAAATTAGCCGCTTGTGGCTGCTGTCAAGCCAACATTTTGTCTATATTATCTCCCGATCCTCACACATGGCACCGCAGCTTCACAGTGTCGATTTTGTCGTATCGTCATATATCGTGTATATTTGTGTGTTTTCATATCCGGTCCGTCACACTGGTCTATGAAGCGTTTATGACACTTTTGTATTTTTGTGTTTCGCAACGCGTCATGTGTTGTAGTCGGTGACAGCAGAGATTTAGCAACATTAGACTGGCAATTCTGTTGATTGCACGACAGGAGGCGCTGTGTAAAACATGTCTTTCATCTTGCAGAACAAACACGAACCCAATACAGTTAAATGTATGAAAATTATTTTTATAACCGGTGTATGTTATTAAACCAGGAATCAGTGGACCCTGGGCTCCAGCTATATTGATGCCCTAGGCGAACTAGTGGTTTGGCGCCCCCTATTGCCCCATTGCTGCCTGTTGTATATTTTTTTTATCTAATTGGAATAACATCGCCCTCCCCATCAGGACGGCATCACAGACCACCGTATATGAGGCTAATACCTGTCCACCAGGGGGAGCCTGTTCACTGAGGTTCACCTGGAAAACTCTGACCTCAGATTATCTCGTCCTCAGTGCTGATCGATGCCATACTACAGAACGAGGACACCGCTGCGGCCGAGGCCAACCACGTGCCCCCGCCTTCAGGCTGGAGAGACGAGGACGTCAGGAACGGTGACGCCAGCGGCGACGAGAAGAAGAGCTTCACGGAGGAGCAGCGGCAGGGTGTTCTCAGGTGACTGATACCCGTCAGCTGTGATGTCAGCTGTGATGTCGCCACTGGAGCTTCACACACTCATACACAGTCAGGCCCAGTGTGAAGACACTAGTTTCAGGTTCCAGACTCTGACCCAGTTCTGCCCCCTGCTGTTGATTTGTCGTTCCAGGATAAAGAATTGTAAGGACTTCTATGAAATCCTGGGCGTTCCCAAAAACAGCAGTGACGAGGATTTGAAGAAGGCGTACAGGAAGTTGGCGCTCAAGTTCCATCCTGACAAGAACTTTGCTCCGGGAGCCACGGACGCTTTTAAAGGTGAGTTTGAATCCGAGGTCAGAAGAGTTGCGTTTTCTTTTCTTTTCTCCATCAACCCCGTTTCCTCCTCCGTCACAGCCATAGGGAACGCCTACGCCGTGCTGAGTAACCCCGAGAAGAGGCAGCAGTACGATCAGTACGGAGACCAGGCCGCAGCTGCGGCCGCACCGCAGTCGGCCAATCACAGACGAGCAGGTCACTACAGGAGCTTCCACCGAGACTTCGAGGCCGACATCTCGCCCGAGGAGCTCTTCAATATTTTCTTTGGCGGCAGATTCCCCACAGGTCGGACTGAGGCCTGCAGTACTTGGTCAATATGTCAACTACTGCAGTATTACTGCTCCAGTACTCTAGTTTACTTGGTGTAATATTTCTGTCTGTCATTTTTGAGCTTCTATATGATATAACTGCAGTAACCAAAATATCATCTGTGGAATATATTGATATCAATATTTGGATCAAATTTTACAGGAATTGATTTTGATTCACAGTGAAAACGTCTTTTTTTTTCACACTGACAGTAGCGTTGATAAAACTGTGGCTCCGCCTCCGTTTGCAGGAAACATCCACGTGTACACCAACCAGGGCGCCGCCTACTCTCAGTTCTACCAGCCCCGACGGCGTCGCGCTTATGAGAGACGTGAGGAGGCGGCGGCGGCGGAGGAGAACCCGAGTCAGGTCAGAGTCAGAAAGTCCTCAGACGGACCAGATTAAATCATTATTGAGCTGTGTGACCTTTGACCTTTGTTCAGATTATAAATTAAGCATTTTTCAAATCAGATCAAACGTCTCTTAGTTTCAAACATTGACAGCTTCTACTGATTGGACCAGACAGCTAACCCCGCCCCCCCGTTCTGACCCGGTTCTTCTCCGTCCCACAGAACACCTTCACGGCTCTGCTGCAGCTCCTGCCGGTCCTGGTCCTGATCCTGATCTCAGTGTTCACCCAGATGATGGCCACCACGCCGCCCTACAGTCTGTTCTACAAACCGTGAGTGTGGAAGCATCTGCGTAACAACTAGGAGTGTATATTGGCCAGAATCTGGGGCTACGATACGTGTCACGATACGGGGACAACGATACGATATATATTGCGATTTACATTTAGGCACAACGATGTGTTACGTTTTTTTTTCTGATGACTGAGGAGATTGATACAAGATCAGGAAAAGAGAGATCGTGATATTTCCCCAGTTACCATGGTAACCTGTGAACAACCTTCACTTCGTCTGCAGCGGCGTTCAAATATTCAGCTTTTCTGTGTTTGGACTTTATTGAAATCAGAAAACTAACCAGAACCCTTTGACCTGTGACCTTTGACCTTCGTAGTTCTCCAGCTGTTTGACCTGGTCCAGATCACCATGTTCTCTGGTTGGGTCCTCAGGTCCATGGGCCTGGTGGTGTCCAGGGAGACGCAGCACATGGGAGTACCGTACTACGTGGACAAAGGTTTTGAGAAGGAGTACCGAGGAGCTGCGCTGGACGAACTGGAGAAAACCATCGAGAGCGACTACGTGGAGCACCTGCAGAGCAGCTGCTGGAAGGAGAAGCAGCAGAGTGAGTCAGACCTCCATCAGGACTGAGAGCCACGGGTTTGTTCCAGATGATGGTTGGGTTATGGGCCGTGGACTGGGCCGCTCAGGCACCAGGCCGCTGGACTTTATCAGCCAGAGCAGGTTTCCCAACCATGGGGAGGTGGCACCATCTGTGGCACCTTCTGAGCCACAGACAGGGGCAGTACTCGTGTACTCCTGCGTGTACTGACAGTATTTTTTTTTTTCTTTCCTCTCTCCAGAATCCGACCTGGCCAACCTGGGTCAGCTGTACCGAGACGAACGACTAAAGCAGAAGGCGGAGTCCATGAATCTGGTCCACTGTGAGAAACTGCACCGACTGGTGGGCCGTCAGAGAGGTGTCTGAGAGCGGTACTGCAGTACCGGCCCAGTGTGTACGCGGGACTGATCTGGACACGTTGTTTTTTTTTTTTTGAAGGAATCATTTTTCAGTCGACTCAGTGGAGACCACGTGCCTTCTCTGCTGTGAGACGGTACCGAGTAGAGACCGGGGTCGGTTCTGACGGTAGCAGGAGGAAAAAAGGAACTTTCTCACAGCCACGACGGTAGAACCAGGGTCAGAACTTCTCCACAAACACTCCTGCTCTTGGTTCCAGGTTCTGTTGCGGTTCTGTGTATTTTCTTAACTTAAAAAAAACAAACTCTTAATTTGTTCAGCGGCTCATTGAGTGAACGTGAACGTGAACGTGAGTGTGGGCGGAGCTGTGGAGTGAAAACCGTGACTGAAGAGACGGACGGACGACTGGGGCAAAAGTTTTAGGCAGGTGAGTGGCGTTGGTGACCCGGTCCGTCTGCCTAAAACTTTTGCAAGTATTTGAAGTCCTAGACCAGTGAAGAAGGTCAAAGGTCATATTTGAGTGTGTGTGTGTGTGTAGAGCTGAGTCACACCTTCATCTACAGCAGCTTCTGCTTCAAAACCTGTTTGTTTGTTTGTTTGTTTGTTTTCTTTTAGAATTCTCCACAGTATTAAGAACTCTTCTTTGACACTTTACAGTTTCTTCAGAGCTCAGAACTGTTTGCCAAAGGTGGAGACTGTTCACCTGCTGCTGGTAAAGTTCCACTGTTCAAACACTGAGAGGGTTTTTTTTTTCTCATGTTGTAAATTGTTTCTGCCGTTTTTAGGAGTCGTACCTGCAACCCTAACAGCAGACGTGTGGCTTTTGTTTAGTTCCCACATAATCTGGTGTTTTCTCTGCTGGTTGTGGTGCAACTTCATATGCGTTTAAGTAGAATTAAAAAACAAAAACAAAAAAAACATCAAAAAGCAAATAAAAGAGGAAATTTGACTTTTTGACAACGTGTCACGATGATGATGCTGATGACGTCAGAGTTCTTCAGTCAATACTCCGGCTGTCACACTGTTGAAAAAAAAAAAACAACCAAAACAATAATTTTAGGTTCTCTCATGTCTTTTTAGTTCCTGTCTTCTCCACCAGAGGTCTCCAAATACACTGTTGCGCCAACGACAGTTTTTCAGGTTATTTTGAGGCTGAGGCTTGATTTTGTTAGAGTTCCTTCACGTCTCACCTGTTCAGTCACGTGATGAAGACTCAGTGGCACTGCATGATTTAACCCTTTCACTGAAGTACACACACACACACACCTCACATTAATCTCACATTAAACAGAACGAAGACACTCAGAGTCCCGTCGTATTTTTTCATTCGAGACGTTCAATGAAAACAGAAATATTGACATCGTGGTCGTTGTTCTACAAGCAGAGAAATAAATGTAGTGGTTCTGGTTTAGTTTTTAAAAAAACAAAACAAAACATCAGACTGAACCAAACTGGAAGATTCTACGACGAGACTCCATCCTGAGACGAGTCTGAAGTTTTCAGAGCAAATCACAAACTCAGATGTTCAGACAAACCTGCTGCCAGGAAGAAAAAAAAACGTTCTAAAAAGAAACCAGGGTTTGGTCCTGGACTGGTTCACGATTCTCTGGTTAAAAGACAAACAGACTTTCAGTGTTTCCGTGGCTGCAGCGACTCGTCTTAACGACTCACTCATTTTCACTGAATTCATACAAACAGACTTTCAGTGTTTCCGTGGCTTCATTTTCACTGAATTCAAGACTTGTTTTTAATTTGATTTTTAAAACCCATAAAAGCCTACAGCTGTGGAGAAACAGGTGAAGAGGAGGAGGAGGAGGAGCAGCTTCATCAGCACAGGTGACCTGAGGAGGAGGAGGTGACGACGACGGAGTGACAGTAAACTTTTTAAAAAAATCTGTACTTCTTTTTAATGTTTGCTGCAGTCATTGGTTTTGTTTTTATTTTTATTTTTTTGCATGTTTCTCTTTAGACTTTTAATTTGGCGGGGAGGAAACACTGAAAGCCTGGGTCCTTCCTCCCAGGTGCCGGCAGTGTCAGGTGAGTTTCCTGGCAACAGGTCTGTTTCCATTAAGTTTAAAATGTTCTGAAAATCACCAGAACATAAATCTAACTTTTTTTCATCAAACGTTCACTTTTTTTTTCCAGAAAACCAAACAAACACTGAGAAGATCGGTTAAACCGCTGGATTAGGATGCTAACGGTTCTGCTAACGCTGTTAGCATTGGCACACAGGAAATACTTGGAAGTTCAAGTTGACCACAGCCGGTTGGGGGCACTTCATGTACAACAGCCTGACTGGTTTCATCCGTGTCACAGTCTGAACAGTTTCTACTCTCACTGACAACTGTAAACAGGACGATTCACCGAGGTACCGATTCACCGAGGTACCGATTCACCGAGGTACCGATTCACCGATTCACAGGAACTGTAGGACAGACAGAAGAAGTCCATCTTAAAATAGAAAAAATACATTTTTAAAAACATGACATGAAATGTTAAGGTTTTCACCATGCAACTCTGGACCGTCCAGGGTTGGACTGGGACTAACTACAGAACTGTCCTGGAGTCCAGACCCACAGACCCACAGACCCACAGACCCACAGACCTACAGACCCACAGACCCACAGACCGGCCTCCGTGAGTTTTCATCACCACCTCTGGTTCAGACCAGTGGCCAGAGCTGCCTGTTTCTGCTAACAATGATAGGCTGTTAGCTAGTTAGCTAGTTTTTTATAATCACTTTTGAAGCGGTAAATTTATCAGGACGAGCAGTCAGATCAAAAACAAGAAGGTGGAGAGTGAGAAGTTCAAATATTGATCCATCAGTTATTGATTTTTTTCTCCCCAATTCATGTGATCGAACCAAACCACAGACTGAATTCCAGCATTCCAGAACCTGGAAGTAACTTCCTCCTCATCCGACTGTGTGACCTGATGAAGTTCAGGGCAGAACATCCGACCTTTGACCTTCTGGTCTCCTTGAATGTCCCCGCTCTAATCTGGGATTACACACTGACACAATAATCCATGTCCCAATTCCTCCTCCACCTCCTCCACCTCCACCCTCCAGCTAAATAATCTGGAGTGCAAATAAAGGTTATGTGGCACAGGAAGTAGTTAGGTGATGTGGGCCACTCAGGGTCCACAGCCCACATCTGTTGTCCTGAAGTAGAGTTAGGATGTGGGCCACTCAGGGTCCACAGCCCACGTCTGTTGTCCTGAAGTAGAGTTAGGATGTGGGCCACTCAGGGTCCACAGCCCACGTCTTTCCTCCTGCAGCTCTGGGACACTTTATTTTATTTTGCCAAAGACTCCACCATCATTTCTTCATCTTCAGGTCAGCTTCTATGGCACAACGGCGCCCCCTGGTGCCTCCGTCCTACGGTCAAATGGTGAAAGGCATTAGTTACTGCACAGAAACTGCAGTTTTTTTTTCTGATTCTTATTTTTAAAAAAACACAGGAACAAAGTATTTGTTTCAGTTTGAAGTACTTACAAAGAGAGAGAGTAGGAAGGCAGGGGAGGACATGGAGACGGAGTCCTGGGGGAGAGAAACCACACAGGGTAAAGTCAGATGATGCAACGACACACAGGTGAACACAGGGGGCGCAGCAGTGGGAAAGACTGAAAGGTTAAAGGTCAGAGAAGAACTTAATGCTGGAGTTAGAAGTTTGTGGTCAACGAACTGTCAGGAAGGAGTTTCCTTTAGTTTGCAGTGCCCCCTAGTGGTACTTGACAGGTGTGGCCATCAGCAGACCAAGTCTGGTCCACACCTTCTAGTTCTTTGCCAACACATAAACACTGCAGTATCAGAACCTGACGTGTAAGAAAGTATTTGTTTTTAGTTTTTTTCTGAATACTTCAAATATTCACTAAACTGCACAGTATCTGTACTGTATGGAGTGGGCTTTTGGCGTGGGCCATATGGGCAGCTACCCAGGAGGCCACCTGCTGGACAGGGGGATGCTTCAGTTCCTTAAAAATATGAATTTCAACAGTGGATGACAGGGGGCGCCAAAGGCACCGTGATGGAGTTCAGATTTCTGTGAAGCAGAACTTCCTTCTGGTCCAGCACCTTGTCAGTGGACTCCTGTTTGCGCGTGCTGTCGCGGCCCCTCAGGCTCTTGGCGCTGATGCCGGACTCGGCGGTCTCCATGATGAGCTGCGTGGCCAGAAACTGCTGGATCTGCTCCAGGACGTCGCGCTGCATCTCCACGGCCATGTGGTAGACGTCGTGGTCCAGACTGTTGTACATGACGGCGTTCTGGAACATCAGCATGATGTCCCTCTGGAACTCCGCCGTGGTCCGCAGGAAACCGCTCTCGATGTTCTTCTTGATGGTGGCCAGGTCCATGGGCCTGCGGGGGGGTGAGGGGGAGGAGGGGGGGTGAGAGTGAGAACCAATCAGCTGCAGGAGACGACCTTCTGTAAATGCTGTCTAACTGAAGCCGACTGTTGACCTGTGGACGATGCTGTGATACCCCGGGGCGATTTCATCCGTCACTGGCTGCAGGAAGACGTTTGCATACCTGCCACAGGGGGGCACAAGACGCACGGTTAATAAAGACGATAACGAGAGAGGTGGAGTGAATGAATCACACACCCTGACCTGTGATTGGCTGCGGCACGCCACACTAACATGATGGACTTTTTCCAGATCTTGTGAGCCTGCTGCGCCTCCAGGTCCTCGCTGCACATAGAACTACGACACGGTAGAAGAGACAGGAAGAAGAAGACGTTGGTGTCCTCCCTG